GAGGAATGAAAACTATGGGCAAAGTTAGAAACCTTTTGGTTATTATTAATGTAAAGCCAAGTGGCTTCCCAGTTGATATTAGGAGCAATTGTAGACCATTGTTGAAAACGATGTTGGGATGTCCAAAGTGTCATGATGTGGGCTTGACAGATAGTACGAATAGAGCGTCGAATGGGGATTTCAATAGGAAATTGGTCAATAAATGGAGTATAGGCAGGATTGTAAGGGTTGTTGGTTAAGTTTTTTTTGAATATTGTATATATTTGTTTATGTTGTTATAATTGTAATGTAAATTCAAAAAGTTCTTACTTTATAGCAGTATTTATAACAACAAATTGTTTTTTTAATTTTGTTAATTATAATTAACCAATCGGAAAGCGTAAATTTTAACAAAAAGCAAAACACGTATACAAACCAAAAAAAATACTTGAAAACTGATGATTGAAATTGATTTTGAAGGTATTGATTAAAAACAAAGTAGAAAAATAATTTTATTTATAAGTTGATGCTTATATCTATAATCATGAACTCTAACAAAGAAAATTGAACCGAATAAGCCACATCACGTTACTACTAATGATTTATATTTGAAGAAAATTCATTTATTTCAAAGAAATGGGAATTTTTACTAAGGTTTCTTTAAACATTGAGTTTCTATTATTATACTTACATATTCGGATTATTGTAAAAAAATTTATCCTTCAGGGGTATAAATTGAAGATTGAGCCGGTAATAATAAGGATAAATAGAATTAATAAATATATAGATTGCAAGAGGAAAATCACTTGATACATTTGGTTATAAATTGAAATAAAATTAAGTAACGGTAAGGGACAAATGATGATAAATAATAACAGATAATGTAGTAATCATAAATTAATTCTACAACCATGGTAAAACTCTAAATAATTTGTTTATATGAACCAAAGTTTCACAACATAAGAGCCTTAATCGTACGTACGTACGTACGTACTTGGGTATGTGCGTACTTAGATACGATATCAGGCATCAATAAAGGAATTACCAATCACGAATCATTCCGTCTTCGAAAAATAAATATCCAAATCTGCTGTTTTATTATAAATGCACGAATTATATATAAATTCGGAGATTTTTTTTTTTTTTTTTAAAGTATTTATCGTTTAATTTTTTTTTTTGAAGTTTTTTTTTTCAATTTGTTTCACGAGTTCACCAAATTCGACAACCGATCGTGTCGCGCGTTTTGTAACCTAAAACTTTACTTTTTGTTCACACATTTTATAAATAAAATGTGATCAATGCACGAATGGAAACCAAAAAATAAAAAAAAATATTTAAAGTGTATAATTTAACAAAAATAATAAATTTCAGTAGCAACTTTCGGATTTACTCGAGGACAAATTTCACGGGAAATTCGTCGCGTTTTTTTATTTATTTATTTATTTTTTTTTTTAAAGTTTTGTATTTTTAGAAAAAGTAACTTAAAAAAAAAACGTGTATATATAATTGGTTTTTTTTTCGAATTTTTCAAGGATCAAACATTACTGTTTAAGGAACAAAAAAGCGAGAATCGAGAATTATTTACAAAGAAAATTTTCTTCATTACAAACAAAAAAAAAAAATATTTACGGAATGATTATTTATACATGGTTAACAAAAGCTATATAATATATATAATATATATAATATATATATATATATATAACGTAAATTATTAAATTTAATAGAATATATACAAAATTGCTTTTGTTGTAAAAAGGTGTTTTATTTAGTGTGCATTCGTTATAATAATAATAATAATATAAAAAGAAAAGAAAAAATCATATTGTTAAAACATTTTCATGTTTTTTTTTTAGCATATTTGAGTGAATGTTTTGAGATATACGAAAGGGATTTTTTTGATTGTTATATATCTTAGAATGAAAAAGGATTGTTGGTACAAGGAAAATTTACGATAATCCTTCCGCACAAAATAAAAAAAAAATCATAATTTTTTTGCACCACCCAATTATTAGAATACTTTTGGCAATACGTTTAAAGTATTACTTTTTTTTTTTTAGAAAAAAAGAGGTGGATTTAAATAAAAAACGAATTCGATTGTGAGTTCGGTAAGTAGTAGCAATTTTTTTTTCGAAAGAGGACATAAGAAAGAAATGCTTAATCATATATATATATTTTTTAAACAAATAAAAAAAAAAATTAAATAAACCGAATTGTGTGGTAAAATTTTGTGGTATAAAATTTCAAACTTAAAATTTGTGGTATACGCATAAATATATACTGATCTGATCACCAACAATTAAAAATCGAGAAACTAAAAAAAAGGGCAATGAGGAAGGTTACCCTGATAAGAAAAAAAAAACGATTTAATGTTAATGTTCGATTTTTGATATTTGGTATTTGGTATTTGGTATTTGATATTTGATATTCCCATTGCGAATAAGAGAATATCAAAAAGTTTTGTTTGTCATAACAATGAGAGTTGGTGTTATCGAGAAAGTTATCACTCTTTCTTTTTTTAAGAAAATGTCAAGATAAAACGGAATATAATAGTCGACATATGAGGGATAAGATTTCGCCAATATTGTTGAATATTGTTGAATATTGTTGATTAATTGTTAATATTTGTTAATTAATTGTTAATTAATTAACTCAAGAATTAACTCAAGATAGGATGTTGAGGAAAGACAATATGAGCCTGATCTGGATGATTAATTTGATGGTATCGTTCATTTCTTTGTTGAGCCAATTCAGCGAGGATAGAAGTACGATCGTAATCGATTGGCGAATGAGTATAATAAACTTTTTCAAACCGACTAAATCTAACAGACTTGCGTCTTTGACCCACTGCCGAAGCGACGCATGATTCTGTTGGAACGATAGTTGAAGCAGTTTGTGTGGCCATATTTGCGAGATCAGGTTATATTCAAATAAACAACAATATTTTAAAATATTATTTTTTAATTTTTAATTTCTGCACGAATGATTATGAATAATTATAAGATCTACGAAATTGACGGATTAACGAACGAACGAACGAACGAATGTTTATGATGGAAGAAAATAAATTTCGGAAAAAAACTAAAAAAAAATATTATTATTTAATTTGGAACCAACATAAAAAAAAACAAATACAAGAGAAAGAAATTTGAGATATGAAATAAAAATTTCTTTATTAAGGGATTCGTTCGGAAAAGAGAGAAGCAACAAAAGGACAAATTCAAATGTCTTTAATAGAGAACTAATGGAAATTTAGAATCCCGGATTTCTTGTGAAAGAAATATCCTTTCAGTTATTATTTCAGTTATTATTTCAGTTGGAAGAAAAAAAAATAATAATAAACGGGTAAATTAAATCGAAAAAAAATCAAAAGGATAGAGAGCGGTAAAGAAAGAAATTGCGAAAAAAAGAACAGAAAATTAAGTCGTTAAAAGGTGATTTGAAATCGTTATGTTCTGGTTCTTTTTAAGGATTTTGGAGTTAATGGGCATTTAGGTGAACGCGTAAGACATCGTTAAAGAAGGGGAAAGAAAGATTGATGAGGGTTTTAAATTTTTTCCAAAGAAAAAATTATATTATAAGAAATATAAAAGAATATCGATAGAGATATGTACTAGAATATGCACAACAGCTTAAAAATATATATATATATATATATTAGATTATTATAAATATAAATATAAATAATGTATAACATAATAAAAAGGTTATCAAAATTCGATACTAAAGAATATATATTAGTGCACAAAAAATTGATGATGCATAGTCAATGCATACATATAATAAGTCGAATTGAAGTTGGGGCCGTAATAAGATAAAATTGAAGTAAAGATTTACATTAACGTTTAATATAGGCCGGCTATGTAATATAAATTAATCGGTGGAAAATAATGTGGAAATTATGTAGAAATTATTGGGTTGCGATTATTTGTACATTAAAAAAACTTTGACATTCATTATTAATTGGATTGCTTTACCACGAATAATATTAAACAAAAAGACCGTTTGCAACCACAAAGATTCTTTTAAAAAATGTTGTGTGACAATAGAATAAATTAGAGTAAATGAAGGGCTGTAAGGTATGCGTACAAACGAAAAATATTATTAAAATTATCATAATCATAATAATAATAATAATCTTATAATAATAATAATAATAATAATAGTAATATAATAATAATACATAGAATAATATAGAATAATGCTGTAATGAATAATGCAGTAATGAAGGAGAAGAAATGTCAAAAAAAAAATAATTATACATTTATATTTAATAAATATACATTTTTTTAAGGTAAGAAATGTAAGAAATGTAAGAGAAATAAGAGTTATGACGTTAGTAGTGAAATGATTAAATGTCATATTACAATGGTTGCCATTATTACGCCGAATTATAGGGAGAGATTTGTTACGTCCGATTTCTACTCCTTGGTATAGAAAACAATAAATGAAACTAGCATTATCAAACATGAATAATTGAAATTGTGTATATGCTGTCTGCGCAGTAGGAGTCGATTGATAGACAAGATAATGCTGTTGGATATATGTTGGTTGGATAGCCAACAAGTAAATTAAGCCACACACCAACAATGTTAAAAAGGTCCGAAAACTTTCTTATGCATTTTATTGTATATTTGAATAATAGCATTTATTCATATTTATAATAGATTTGCAAATTTTTTTTATTTGTGCATAGTTTTTATATTAATTTTTATATATTAACTTTCGAGTTTGGCAATGTACTACGTCGACGTACATATACACGTTTTTGAATATGACATCATACATATTGAAATATCGAAGACAGTTAGTTGATCGAGTACGCGTGTGATATCGGCCGATTAATACAATTTTTCTTCCCCGGGTTTCATTATATTAAACTAATAAACTACTGATTTTTTTTAATAAATTATTTTAAAATATACTATCAAAGTGAATTATTATTAAGTCGCATGCATCGTTGGCGTCAGTCAGTAAATGATTTTGACTGTAAAACTGTAAATTCAAATCTATAGTAATAATCAAGTAAAACGAAAGTTTCCATTTGACATTTCCATTTGACATTTCCATTTGATATTTCCATTTGACATTTCCATTTGATATTTCCATTTGACATTTCCATTTGACGTTTCCATTTGATATTTCCATTTGACATTTCCATTTGACATTTCCATTTGACGATTCCATTTGACGATTCCATTTGACGATTCCATTTGACGATTCCATTTGACATTTGACATGTACTTTGTAACACAACCCCACAAAGTAATCTACGACCAAATTCGTATCAATCAAAGACAAGTCATGACGTAACAAAAGAGATATTTCACTTTATCAGTTACTGAATTCAACCTTCAAACTATCCATTGTTCACATTTTAGAAAATCAAAAAAAGAAAAGCTTAAAGTCGATCTCAAAAAAGTTGAGGATCTCTGACATTCTTTGATATTTTGAAGCGTTAGATTTCATTCAATTATTATTCAATGATTCAATTCTTCAAAGTCAACAATGAAGAAATGAATTCAATTCATTGTTTATTTCATTATTATTGGTTGACATTAAGCTTTAGCCGCCAAAAAAAAAAAAAAACAATCGACTATTCATTATTTATTCCAAGTTTGAACGTACTATACGTAATTACACAGCGAAAAACGTGAATTATGCTATCACACGGACAACAAAATATCAATATATGCCTTATCATAAGAAGTTGCTTGATTTCCAAATCCAAAGTCATAGATGCACGCAATAATGTTATCGTGAACAAGAGGTAACACAAACAGAAAACAAAAACAATATGGTTAACACTGAGACAAGTTTCTCACAAATAAGGATATGTTTTTTAGTGGGGAAAGCGTGGTACAGAAAGATAGATAGATCTTGTTATCTTAGACCAGTTTAAATGCTATACGTATGCTACGTATCACTACGCAAGTTTGTCTCCTTATAGAATTTATTCCAGTGTTACAATTTTTTCTTGATTTTCTTGAATGTATATTTCGATAAGAAAAAACGGCCGAGTAGACAATGTGACCAGTGTGACGATTGTAATAGCATTGATTCAGATCTGTTTCATACATGATGTTGTACTATTTGAAGCATGAATTTTTGGGCTTAAAAAAATTCTTTTATTTGTAACAGTACATAAGAAATAATGTTCTTGCGAAATAATTCATTTGAACATGTGATGTAAGTCTTGTTTTAATGTTAATGCTATCTTATACCGACCATATACTTATACATTCCTAATGCATATTAACACTGGATATATATCAGATATCACCAGATATACACCAGATATACATTAGATATACACCGGATTTACACCGGATATACGCCGGATATACACCGGATATACGCATTACATTTTTATTGATCAAAGAAAAAAAGGCAAATAAATAAAAATAAATAAATAAATAACGATAAGTGGACGTGCATTATTGTTAAATTTCGAATATAGATAATTACCCGACATGCTCCGAATTCTACATAGATAATTTATACAATTGGCTTTGTAATCATGTATATGATTCAATTTTTTTTAAACTTATATTATTATAACAAACATTTAGTTTACTTTCGATAGTTGTTTACCTAATTGATCTTAGCCTGTAGTTTCTGCATTTTACAAATAACAAATAGAAAATCTAGTGTTGAAATAGAAATCTAATGTTGAAATAGAAATCTCAATGTTGAAATGTAGTATAGTCTACTGCTTATTCATTGCTTATTCATTGCGTATTCACTGTTTATTCACTGCTTATTCACTGCTTATTCGATAGTTTTTTTTCGAACATTGAATAAATCAAGTTTTTTTTTTTGTCTAACGATAAATAGGCATAAAATCAAATTATGATCTTACTTTTTTTTTTCTTTGACGCATTGCATTTTTGTAAACAATAATCTGTTCCAGAAACTTGGAACATTGCAACTTTCGAATAATTATTATTGTCGTCGGGGAATGGATTTTCATTTTCATTATCATTTTAGGTCACGATGTTTTCAGAATTCGGATTTGGGCTGAATAAATTAACAATTCGTTGTAATATCCATATGTAACTAAGAATTTTTCATACGCGCTTGACATCATGGCGACACGAAAATTGTTTGCTTACACAGATAAATGGATAATTAAGCGAGATTTTCTACTGTATAATGTATAAAATTCTAATGATTCATAGTTATATGCTAATACATAACAACGTTGTATGCTAATAACAGATAATTGATATTTTTATTGTAACAATTTCCGTCAATAAATTAACCTAAACTAGAAAACCAGTTACAATATTTTGATGAATGCGTACAAAGAACTTACCATCTTTGTATAATAAGGTATTATTTTAGGTTATAGATGAAAAAAAAGTTTCAAATTGGTTATCCGGCGTTTTTAAATATGTTTATCTATGATATTTTTAATAATCATCTACCAATAGACCAATATCATCTGTTATTATTGTGTTTTTAGTTAAAATGCTAGTAGACCTTATAAGAAACTGTGGCTGATTACTAGTCGACATTATATTAAATGACTACTTTGTCAGTTTCAATGCTTTATTAGTTGAACTAGACACATACGCATATACATATATACATATACATGTACGATAATAATTCTGAAGTGAATGATTTCGTATCTTTTAGGAGGCAATATGGCTGAATAACTTGCAACAAATTATTACATCCAACTAAGTGTAAGAAAATTTTTTTTTTTAAAAAAAAAATTTTTTTTTGTTGCACTCATTGTCTCCAAATTCGTGTGCATGTGTTCGTACATCGCATTTGCATTCGAATTTACTGTCTGTTTATCTGTACGTGTCACCCTATGTCAGCTGATGATTTGTAAACAATTTATGAATAATTATTGTCCTTTTTTCAATAATTCAATTCAATGTGATATGACGATAGGCATTTATACTTGTTTCCGTTATGGGCGAACGCCATTTGATACAAAAAAAAAAAAGGTATGCATTCTCCGAATGTAAATATCTGAACGTGTATGAATCGTATTTTTCGCATTGGTTCTTGGCTCTATTTCCTTCATTGGACTTTTGAATCTTTTAGATAAAAGAATTTGATAAGAAAATGCTTATTTGACTTTTTTTAAGAGATTGATTACTAAACTAATATATTACTATACTACTATACTACTATCTGCTATACTACTATACTACTATCTGCTATACTACTATACTACTATCTGCTATACTACTATACTACTATACTACTATCTGCTATACTGCTATACTACTATCTGCTATACTGCTATACTGCTATCTGCTATAATGCTATAATGCTATACTACTATACTACTACACCACTATATTACACTACTATATTACTATAAACTACTATACTACTACACCACTACATTACACTACTATAATACTACACCACTACATTACACTATTACACTAATATACGTATATACATCTAATAATTTTTATACATACTATCTTTCTTTCTTTCCTTTCTTTCACACGAACGTACAAAAGTGATGGGAATGTTTACCAATCCCAAGGCTTAAGGCTTAATCACACGCAAGATTTATCCATGCATTGATGCATTGAACTTACGACATAACGCATTTATGCATACATTAGTTAACTGTTTTAAGTTTTAACTTGGTGTTTTTTAAGTTTGATGAGTTGATAAGGTTCTGCATGATAAAGTGTAGATGTGTATGAACATGTAATAGAGCGTAATATCAACATATTTTTTAATAAAACTCAATTGCTAAATTGTTTACTTTGGTATTATGTATCTTTGTACGCCCAAATACCAGCCGACGGGCGAACTTCGTACTGGTTTTCACCTATTCACCCATTCTTTTTTTTTGGTTTTTTTTTTTTTTTTTGCGTAATCATTTGTTTTGAACATCACATCCTGCATACAAAGAATTCGTGATTTCTAGGATCTCAATCAGTAAAAATATCATCTCTGTAAAAAAAAAATCGGCCCAACATGTGAATCTAATACTTTCAATACTTTCTAAAGAACGATTCATAAGGTATTTTTGCCATTAACTGTTGTGGGAATTTTATCATGACTGTTTTAAGAATTATGATAGCATTGTGCAGATCGGCATTTTTTTTTTCTCTTAAAATAAAATTTTGTTTATATCGATCATTAAACCTGTTTGGTCTAAAAAAATCATTTATTTATTTATTCGTTTAGGGGTCGTTTAGAGTTAGGAATAATTGTTTTTTTTTCTCGCCGTTACTTTAAGCTATCATAACGATAATTTTCTTTTCTTTTTTTTTTTTTTTTTTTTTTGTGTAAACTTTAAAATGTGTTCACGTCATGCAGCTTTCTTTAATAACTTGCAAAAAAAAATTGATTGATAAGCAAAAGATTTCAGCTGAAAGTAAATAATACTATTCTTTTTATTAATTGTCTTTAATATTAAATACATCTTATCGTTATATTTTTGACCTAAAATGTAAACTAAATGCTATATGTATATCGATATTAATTCTTTTTTTTTTAATATAAAAAAAAGCTTTAAAGCTTATACATACGTATAACGGTATTGTATTATAATTACCTGATTAAATTTATGTGCATATTAAAATTATTTAATATTTGCGCCAAGTTTTATCGATCATTCGCCTAGATTGATCGACTTAGGCCTGTATTAAGCTAATTTCAATGTTAAGTTATAATTAAGTTTAACTAAAAAGATGATTTAAAAATAAAAATAATATATACGTATCAAAATTATACGTAAAAAGTTTTTTTTTTGTTAAAATACAAATTATAGTTTTGTAAATAAAAAATTTTAAGAAAAAAATTTCTAAGAGTATTGCTATTTATATATACTACGTACGTATTAGCTTTGCTATTTATATCATGTTAATTATATTTAACTTAATTGATTTTTTTATAAATTTTTAAAAAAATATTTGGATCTTAAGTAAGCATTTAAATTTTGCTATCAATTGCTTTAAAATATAGTATAGGTGGGCAAACCTAAAAATAATTATATTAAAATAAATATATATTTATAAATATAACTAATTAATATATCTTAATATAAAAAATTAATTATATTATATTAGAATAATTATTATTTATATAATAAACAAAAATGTTTAATATTCTAAAAAACTTTATTCTAGTTAAATTTAGATTTTAAATTTTATTAACAAACTATTAAAATATATATAATATTTTTTATTATTATTAAATTTTATTTTTTATTAAATAAATACCTTTAAATGCAATATTTATTTTTTATTTTTATTTTTTTTAATATTAAAGTTTTTATTTTTGAAAACAAAGTTTTAATTTAAGTTACTATAATATAAATATTTTTAAAACTAATTTTAATATATTATAAAATATAATTAATTATATATATTTTT